GGATGCTTCTGATGAAAAAGAAAACTAACACATCTGCAAGAAAGGGAAGGAGAGGGATACAGAAAGCTACAGGCTAGTCAGCCTAACCCCTGACTCCAGAAAAATCATGCTGCAAATCCTTCTGGAAGTCATACCCAGACACATGAATTATAAGGTGCCTGGGAACAGTCATTCTGGATTTACTAAAGATGCCTTGAGTGCCTGACCAACAGGATAGCTTTCTATCAAGAAATGACTGGCTGTCTGGCAAAGGGAGAGTGGGGTTTTTTTTTTACTTTCATATTAGTCAGGCTTTTGACACAGTCTCTCACTGTCTTGTAGTCTTATTGGAGAAACATGGTTTGGATAGGTGGATTACTGGGATGGTGGAAAAWGAGCTGGACTACAGGATTCTAAATGCTGGGATCATCAGTATTAAAGTTTATCAGGAGTGATACTAAGATGAATATTCTTAATATTCTTATTTATGACTAATCCACACTTAATGACCTAATCACCACAATAAAGTTATCAAATTGGTAGACAATGCCTAAYTGGGAAAAGTGAAAAACATACTCAGTGGTAGGATATTGTATTCAGAGAGACCTCAACAGGTGGGAAAGGCAGGCCAACACCTATCTCAGGAACTTCAATTAAAGCAACATCTCATATCTGCTCACAGAAACAACTCATACAACAGCACAGGCAGAGGGCTGACTGAATAGAAACGAAATTTGCAGAAAAGGCTCTGAGGTCCTTTTTGATACTTTCTGACAAGTTGAACTTGAGTCATCAGCAGATCYTTTTGCGGCAAGGAAGACAAACTGCACTCTGCCCCATATTAGCAAGAGCGTACCTCTCAGCTCAGGTGAAATTGTTACTCTTCTCTGCTTGGCTGTGGAGAACAATTGTCCAATTTGGGGATTAACACAAAGCTCTATCATACTGGATAATGTCTAGTGGAAGGCCACCATAATTATTAAAGCTGTGTTTGTTCAGTCTCAAGCAGAGAAGCTATAGGGCAGGACCACAGTACTGTCTTCAGCTACCTAATGAACACAGAGAAGACAAAGCTGGACTCTGCTTGAGAGTACACAGCAAAAGTATGAGGGGCAGTGAATATATAAGCTACAGCACAGAAACTTCCAATGTAACAATAGCAAAACTTTCACAGTAAAAATCAACCCTTAAGAGAGGCCAAAAAAAGGTATCCTTACACGTATTTGAGATGCTACCACATGTAAATTGGAGCAACTGGATCTTAACTTTGCTGGTTGGCCGTTTTGAGCTGGGGGCTGAACAAGGCAATCTCCAGAACTCCCACTGAGCCTAAATTCCTCTGATTTTACCATTGCAGAGAGTCAGTTTGAGTACTCTAAAAATGATGGAAGTGTTTCCAGTGCAGATTAACCCGCCAAGGTGTCCAAGTAATGAATGCTTCAATTCTTGCCAAAGCGCTCTGTGGTGCATGCTTATATTTTGGGTAAAAAGSACTCTACACACACAAAACTAATTAAAATACATGCAAGTAGTGTGAAAGGTAGTTTAAAAGGAATTTAGGTCTTTGGCATAGTCCTGAACAACATCAGCTGCAAGGCACAATGCTTTATCAAAAAAAGCCCAGAGCTAAACTCATAACAGCTTAACTTAAATGTCTGCCATGTAGATTGTCTTTTCCTCTCTCAGTAAGATYACTGTTAAACACTTAAACATTAATTACGAATATCAAATATGCTTGTTTTCTAAAGGGTTACCTGGAATGCCCTAATTTTGCTTCATTTTCAACCAATGTATTTACACTACTTAGGTTTTCCTAAGTGCTTCATTGAWACCAGACCTACAGCATGAATGAAACCTGAGCTGTTGCTCCATTTCTAAAAGAGAACAGTAAAGAAAATTGCTGATAGGGCAGCAACACWGGTTAAATCATTCTCAATTTTTGATTTGCTGTTCTCTGTTTCAAGTCCTGCCAAATGTACTATAAGACCTAAGGTGAGASTCACATCTTGAAAATAATACTGATGATGCTATACTTAACAAGTAAAAAACTTATAGACACATTAAACACTCAAAAAACATGAACAGAAGAGGGGAAATCTTGGTTACACTTTCCACTTGCTGTCAATAGGTAATTTTCAATGAAAAATGGATCAAGGCTTGTACTAGAAGACAAGTACAAATGCTAAACTGATTCTAGAACAGTAATTTATTAAAAAAGTCAACCACCTAAACAATTTACAAGCCCAGAAAGCACATACAGATAAAAAGAATCAGCTACATTTTTGGGAACTTCAAGAGAGAATTGTTTAAGACAAAAGATAGAGGTAGTCAGTGCTCAAGAAATGGTTTGTTTGTTTTATAGTAAMTGTACAGACTTTTTACTGTGGGGTCCCTTGTGCTATAAAGCTTAATAGGCTTTATTTAAACTACAGTTGCTAATTATTACTGAATTACTAGGATGGAAATTCATTGCTTTGTAAACTAATCTATATTTTGAATTAACAGGCAAATACTTACATAACCAAGGTCAGCACATTAAACTTTCTGACCTAAAAGTTAAGWCTAAAAAAGCAGAATAATTAAGTAAGACCAAAAGATTTCACTACACAGCAAACCAACAGCAAAAGCTCCTGCAGTTTGTAGGAACTCTGATACATCAACAGGTTCTCCTGCCCCAGGAATGAGATGGGGAGTAAAGGAATGCTCCCCTCCTCCTCCACTAAGGATGTTCCCTTCCCAGAGAACTGCAGTAGCAAAGCAAGGCTGCTGTTTTTCAAGTCAGAGATTCTTGGAACCAAGGGCATTTTTGTGTGAGAATATATGATCCACAAGGTTTATAAAGAGCTAGTGCTAGCACWGGCAGTGCTCCACACTGTGGGGCAGTTTGTGCCTTTTACATACATCCAGAGCCACTGCAGAAATCAGACTAGCTGGGATATCACAGCAAGAAGGGAAAAATTAGGAGATCCAGGGCAAGTCTAAGAATTCAYTAAAATATCACAATAATATCAAAGTATCAGGTTACTGCAATAATATTTTTTGCAATAACATGCAAGATGGAAAAAATGCCTATCACAGCAAAAAGGATTAGGTAAGAACGTGACAAGGAGCCGAAAGAAGAAAAGACTTGGTCAAGAATATAAAAAGCTTCTTYAACTATCATGTTGGTTTCTCCATCACAGCATTTCCATCAACATTTTGTATTACTGAAATTTTCCTGAAATGAATTCATCAAATTGAGTTGGAGGTGGACATTACATACTACAGAGGACTGAAGAGCTGTCAAGTGTGACAGCTAAGAACCACAGCAAGCCCTCCTTGAGCCCAACAACCAGCGTTGGAAATTAGACCAATAATCTGATTCTAGTGATTTTTCTTTGCAAAAAGAATTTATATATTTCCAGTCATAAAAGCATTTCCTATTCTGTACTGWATTAAAATTTGAATTTTGAAAATGGTAGTAGATGTCCTTATACAACTGGAGAGAGACAAAATAAAAAAATCAGCAAACATTCAAAAAACAAGAAGTGTAAATTTTTTTTACTGCAGTTACTAAGTATTTGTCCACAAGAATACTAGAGAAAGTTCAACTATCTTGTGAAGATTYACTGTGGAAAATCTGGAAACTAGGWCCAGGCATTTAAGTGTAAATATAGGATTTCAGACCAGATTTAAAAGGTTTCAATGCATTCTTAATTACCAGTTTGCTACCAATGGTCCTGCAACACCATCAACCTTTTTAAGGTTCAGAACTCTTCATAAAAATTTATGAAATTATTTTCACAAGATCACACCAAGGAGGTTTAAAACCATATTAGCATACAAGTASAACAACAAGGGCAAAACCATGTCATAGAATTATTAAAGCCACAGCAAATATGGACAGTTAAGCTTATTAACACTTAAAAATTGCAAATAAATGTGCATAAATTCACAGTACAACGTTACATACAATGTAATGTATACAACCCTGCTACATCAGCATTGAAGAGAAAGATTTCAACAGGAAAGCTGACAACTGCATTTCTCTAAATTCACGTAGTCCTCATTTTCTCCTGTACAATACACATGCATTTTTCTAAACAAATGGGTTATGAAAAATTCAATACATGTCTGATTGTGGAAGACAAATGAAAATACTTGAARTATTTTAAAAGCTGAAAATCCATCAATTATTCTTTCCATAAATAAACATTTTATTCTTTTATTTCTTTTGTTCACTTATTTTTGTAGATTGTAACTCCTTTTTACRGAGCATTTACAGATATTACAGCTATAGAAGTATTTGTTTAATCCTATTTTTGTACTTTACAGATTGAAGAAACAAGTTTAAAAATTGTGGTCTGGTAAAACTACATATTTTTAATCTCAATATTAGTACAGCATAATTACTTCTGGATTTGAATCCATCTTTAATAATTGTACCCAAATGCACAATGCCACTCAAACTGAAAATTTAACACTTAAACTCCTTTAACATTTATAATTCATAGTACTTTTTTTTCTGAATGTGCCAAGATTCGATAAATGTTTCTCTTTACAAAATGAACAGTCWTCCTCAAACTGTCAAATACAGAAGGTAGCCCTGAAAATTCTTACCAACTCACATAATTGCAATAACATTTACACATCAGGTGTCCAATATAAWTTTTTTTAACATCTAAGGTAAGTTTTGAAGATTAACAAGTTCACTGGGCACCTTAGTTCAGTTTGCCCTGTCACTATCTAGCAGGTTACACATAAATATAACACACTGTATTCATAAGAATACATGTTAGTTTTAAAAGAGACACAAGTTAAAATTGTTAGGAAACCAAAACTCTACTGCCAGAGGTACAGCTAAAAAAAAGTTGTTTAACTAAAAGGTCAATTCTGAATATTTGTATGCAAAAAGTATTTATCTCCAATTCTGATGGCACTCATCACACACACTGTATTTAGCACAGCAATCTAGAAATTTAAGCTTTATAGCGTGCAAAAAACATTTCTCATTTTATGCAAATTAATTTCAACTTTSTTACCTTATTTACTTCCATGATTTCCCTTCTCTCTTCAGTAGCAAAACGAAGCTGACTTGCAGCACCACGATCATCATGCTTGGAGCCATCTTCTTCAACATATGGAATAAGTTGCTGTGAAAACAAAAAACATCAGCAAAAATTTAAAAAAAAAAAAAAAAGAAAAAAGGAAAAACAAAAGAAGAAAAAAGAGAAGAAAAAGAGAAAAAAAATCAAATCCCAGAAATACATGAGGTACTACCATTTTCTGCACAGGTTCTAACTGCCCAAGAGAAAGGGGAGACAAACCTGTTTGCTACCTCAAGCCTAAAGGYCTTGGAATGACTTCAGTTGGCTCTCCAGGAAAACTGTGTGCTTCAAAAAGACACAACCCCCCACACCACCATGCCCAGACCAAAGAAATTTTGTAACTGCAGGTAGTAGCCAGTCTTTCCATTTTMAGATGTTTATCATGGATAATCCTTATAGTTTTGAATTCTGTAGACAGGGATTAAAAAATTTACTATCCCACACTAAGAAATACCACAAACATGAAGTTATTGTTATTATAAGGCATTTTAGTGATATACTAATCATAAATATGACTGGATTTACATAGTTACTTGSTTAATACTTTAGTTATGACTTGTTATTTTAATGAATCTCTGTTTGGCTACTCTTAAGGCCAGGCCCACAGTTACCTAAAGTAAGTTTKCCTGTAAGTATTTCCCACTGTGTTCTTAGACACACAGAATCATAATTTTGTTTAGGCTGGAGAAGGCCATATTGTGCTGTCTTTTTTGTAGGCTTCAACAAGGCCAAAAATCCTYGATGAAGAATTTCTAAATGAATGCTAATGTACGCTTCCTTGCTAAAAAAAAAAATTGAAAAGAATCAGTAAACACACTAGAAATAAAACAAATACTTGCTTCTGTGTCAGAACACTCCCAAGCTTTATTGTATTTGTATTGCTAAACTAAAAATCTATTTTAAAATAATACATCTACTAAGTCCATATTCTGTCTTTGCTTTTTCTGCCCTGAACCATGCAAAATCACATCCGTGTTCACATACACACTACAGACAAATGGAAGACTAGACTGATGAAAGTGAGCAAGAAGACAGTTGAAAATTTAGCCTGGGTGCAAGCTGCTCATCAAGTGCATATTAACTTGTTACTTGAGTGCAATATTACAAAKTATTCAGTGCCTTCAGCACTCTGATGGAGAACTTAACTTTGAKTTAACCTACTGAAAACCGAATTTCCTTCTATACAAAAATTTTTGCAGCCATTCTTTTAAGCTTAGAAAATGRACAAAAGCTACCACACTAAACTCTGCCAATGAAAAGTAGTAAAACCACTTACTACATTTGCAAACCATAAAGAAGAAGTAGTGGGGCTGCTAAATCTCTTGGAAAAAACTCTCTCACAGAAAAATAAAGTAGCATTTGGAGTAGAACATTTCCTTTGAAATTCCCTGTCTTTCAGAAAAGGTGATAGATAACAAAAAACCAACAAACTCAAAAAGAAAAGCAGAACTACACCTAATACACAAAGCAGGAAATTTAAACTTTGTAGCCACATCTCCTCCACAATTACCTCATCCCTTGCTATGTAGGTGAACAGAAATTTAATAACACCTATTACACTAAAAGTACATGTTAACAAAAAAATAAACTCTCATATCAATAATAATGAACTAAGCAATACTAATAGACACTGACTTATCTTGACTGTGTAAAARGAGTTTTGTTGATATATTGGAAAGATATGGTTAGAATGTCAGCCACTAAATAATACGATTGAGACTATTATTGAAATACTGGAAGAAGAATTTCAGAAAACTGATCCCAGAAGAATGGTATGCCACTGTCATTCACACTAACCAATAAAAACATGAGCAGGCAAGCATCTACTGACTTCAGAGCAGAAAATACTAAGAAGATGAAATATCACCCCTCCAACTATTGATAAAAACTTTGCTGTGCATAAGCAAGTGAAACCTTGCATTTAAAGAGCCTGAGGTGACTTCTCATTTTCTCTATGGGCTTCTTTTTCATCCTGGTAACAGGAAAAAATGTGAAAATTTTTATAACTTCCAACAACAGACAAAAAAACCCAACCCCACCTGATCCCATTTCCATGAGAAAATAATGAAAAGCTTTTTAAGAGGACACAACTATCTGGTTATTACACACAAGTCAACACACCATGAAAACAGGTTTCATTTTATTAAATGGGAAAATAAACTTACTGCCTGGCTTGCTGTCAGGTTTCCAGACACATTTCCCTAAAATCTTCATCAAAAGTCAGTGATTGCTAACTGAAATAGTAGTCTAGAATAAACTGCATAGAATGGACTCCTTAATTTCTTTATTCCTATTCAATTAGGAGACTCAAACTTTGAATRTAATGYSTATATGATTAAAATKCAATGGACAATCAAAAGTCKGTTACCAAAGTTGCCTCCAAATMCAGAGGTCAGTAATTAAAGAATTTMTAAGTTCTGGTTAATATAGAGCAGTAGCAACTCGAATTGTAACATAAATCAGGGTTTAAGAGTATTACTAGAAATTAGAAACAATTTATGAGGGGGAAGATGAAATTTAGATTTTATGAGGAACAGCACTTTGATTAAAAAAAACTTTTGCCAATCCTCCTTCCTGGAAGTCTTATGTTGTAACTTTTYTATCACCACTGCACATTTAGGTTTTGTTTATACTGGCCAGCAGGTAGGGAATAGCTGAGTAAGGGAACGATGGAGGCACAGACTGATGGCCAGAGAAAGTAACTAACACTTATTACTTAGGAGCCAGGCTGACAGGTGACAGCTTGAAGTAGGCTTTTTTCCCACCTTTTCCCCTTTCTTTTAAAAAAATTGCCCTGATCCTCTTTCTTTCCTGGGGGAAATTAAGCCAGAGGAAAAAGGCTAAAATTTTAAATTACATTTGCTTTTACAGAATCACAGAATCAATTAGGCTGAAAAAGACCTCTGCGATCAAGTCCAGCTTATGACAGAACTCCATGTCAACTACACACTAAGTRCCACGTCCAGTTGTTTCTTGAACACCTCCAGGGATGGTGACTCCACCACCTCCTTGGGCAGGCTGGTCCACTGTTTAATTGCCCTTTTTGTGAAAAAACTCCTCCTAATGTCCAATCTAAACCTCCCCTGATAGAGCTTGAGACCATGTCCTCTTGTCCTATTGCTACTTGCCTGGAAGAAAAAAGCTGATCCCCACCTGGCTACAATCTCCTTTCAGGGAGCAGTASAGAGAGGAGAGGTCTGCCCTGAGCATCCTTTTCTCCTGGCTAWACATCCCTCAGCTGCTCCTCATCACATTTGTGCTCCAGACCCTTCCCCAGCTCCACTGCCCTTCTTTGGACATGCTCCAGCCCCTCAATGTCCATCCTGGACAGAGTATGGCCTACACTGAGATGCAGCCTCACCAGTGCCAAATACAAGGGAAAAATTTCAAATGGAATCCCTCCAGCTTGATGGGAATCCACCCCAAGAATTGATGATATTAATGTGAAATCACAATCTTTCAACGAGTTTTAATTAATAAATAGAATTCAGTCCACTGAACAATTTCAGTATTGTTAAAACCCGCTATGAGCCTTCTGCAACTGAGGAGGATGGATGATTTGCTATCCAGAATGGTATTTTGATTTACAACTTATACATAAATAAAGATACTTACTTCTATGGGAACAGGATCAAGCCCAGCACAGTTTTCATTGCATTTGTCATAGACTAGTCTGAGTTTTCTGAAGAGTATTGATARCTGACGGAGATGCTCCTGCAGCTTTCCCAGTCTGTCTTGATATGTTGCAGTATGATAAGTAACACCATTTGGCAACTTAAGAGAATCAAAACATTAAAAACATTACACTAAAGTTTCTGTCATGTGAAATAAATAAAGATATCAGACAGGTTTTTGTACATTTTAAAATAAGACAATCACACTATTCCCATAACAATCACTGAAATTTTAATTTTCTTTATCAGCAAAATTCTGAATTATATGTGCTCAATCACTGGTTCAAACACATTCATGTATTCTACACTTTGGTCATTGTCAATGCTCCTGACTTTTCAGCGAGTGTCTTCACAATGTTTAAATACGCCATCGTGATTCAAGTATTACACTTTGAGATTCTGTGTCTCAACCCCAGGCCACACAATTCAGTGACACAAGAGTCATGAAAATACAGAGGGAGTGGGAGTGATTATTTATTTTGTACTCTCCACAGAGAAAACATGACAAAAGTTTGCATGTTTTCTTAGTAAGCAGACACAAATAAGGATTACATCCATTTTCCTAACAAAAGAAACAAATAGTTTGATATGGAAAATATTACWGAAAAAAATMAATGATAATTGCTCTAAAATTACTCCCTGCATGTTAACATGAACAGAGAAACGTAACTGACCTATGAACAGACTTCACTATACATAAAAGTTACTACATGTATTTAGAGCTTTTTTTCATTGTGGGGGCAATGACAATTCAGCATTTTTTAATTTTCTCCATCTTAACTTAATACATAGGTGTAAGCAAATTATATTAAGAGTAGTACTCACTTCTTCAGCCAATCCTCCTTTTTAGAGCAGTTTGATTGAGTTTTCTAAATGTCCTAAGGCATCTCCTGTGTTTATATACACTGACACTCGGTGATAAAAACATGGCAAGTTGAGYGTCACAAAAAATAAAGTTGTTTCTCACCTGCATGTTCCTCAGTAACTGGAAGATTTCCATGGTTCGAAACACAATGTCCTGCACGGTCTCTTGGCCGATGCGGCAGAGGGAAGCCGTGTTCACCTCCCTGGCAGCCTGAGCCTGCGTCCCGGAGAAAGCGCCCGGCGGCATCCCGGCCCCAGCCAGCGGCGGGGTYGACATCTCCCGGCGCTACCCAGCCCCACCGGGGCGAGCTGCACGAACAAGTGATGACGGAACGATCAAATACTCGCTCGAGCCCATCCTAGCAAACTTCTGCAGGGCGCCCATCCCACCCCTTTTCCCCGTACGCGGCCCTATCCAAGGYAGAACCGTCCAGCGGCCGAGGCTGGCTCAGCGCAGAACGGCTCGGGCCGGACACCGCTCCCTGAGCCCCGCAGCTCTGCCGGCGGTGGAACTGCGGGTGCCCCTCACGCACCTCCCTCCGCTCACAGCTGTCACCCCGCCYCGATCCCTCCCAAGGGACACGACCGGGGCTTTTGCCCAAAACCAGCCGCCAAAATCGCAGCCCTGGGCTCCGGGACCGGCACCTGCCCGACCTGTCCTCCCTCAGCTCCCGGGGCCGGGGCGAAGCGGTGCCCCGACCCGCAGCCGCCCCGCACCCGCAGCCGCCCCGCACCCGCGCTCCCGCCCGGCCCCGCTCCGCGCTTCAGCCACCTCAGCCCCACTGAACCCCCGGCCCCGCCGCACTCACGGGACGCGGACCCGCGCGGGCGGAAGCACTTCCCGGTGCCGGTGCCGTCACAGCCGGCGGGGCGGGACCGGCGGGGCGGGACCGGCGGGGCGGGACCGGCGGGGCGGGACCGGCGGGGCGGGACCGGCATCTGTCCCACCGGCTTGAGCCGCTCCTGAGGGGCCGCTGTCCGTCTCGCTCGGAAGTCGGGGCGTTTTTCTGGCTTGCTGCATCGAGTGCGGGTTTGCGGGCRGGTCAGCCAGCATGCGCGCTSTTGAGGTTGAAAAGTTTGGTCAGAATCCCCCGGCATGTTCACACAGTCCCACCACCCCTCTGTCAGATCACAGAATCATTGAACAGTTTGGGTTGGAAGTGACCCTAAAGATCATCTAATACTAACCCCCTTGCCACGGGCAGGGATGCCTTCCATCAGGCCAGGTTGCTCAGAGCTCCGTCCAGCCTGGCTTTGAACGCTGCCAGGGATGGGGCAGCTGCAACTTCTCTGGGCAACCTGTCCCAGTGTGTCACCCTCACAACAAAAGATTTCTTCCTAACACCTAAACCTACTGGTTTTCAGTTTGAAGCCATTCCGCTTTCCTTATCACTACGGTTCAGGATGAAGAGTCCCACCCTACCTTCCCTGTAGACCCCTTCAGGTATTGGAAGGCTGCTGTGAGGTCTCCAGGCTGAACAGTCCCAGCTCTCAGCCTGTCTTTGTAGGGGGATACTCTAGTCTGAGTCACACTGATAAATGGCTGAATATTTGTTTCGAACGGTAAGTATRTATTGTCACCGGTATTTCACACCTGTGTTAATTTTTATAGCTTTATGGGTGTACTGCTATTACTGCTATTACTTGCACAGATACATTATTGCCAAACCAGAAAAGTCTTAACATTTGGCCTTACTGTCGCAGTATTTATGTGGATGTAAAACAGCTGACACCAAGTGTGCTTGTACCACACTACAATTGAATTGAGGTATTTTCAAAGTACAGACAAGCCTTCTATGTGATGGCAAAGGAACATACTCAAAAAGAAACCAGGCAGGGTCTGTGAGGGCTGATATRGATTGTCTAGATAGTAGCTAATGTTTACCATCTGCCTAACAAAAAATTTCTTCGTATGCAAAAATCAGTAAGTACCAAAGTTTATCTTTCTTTTCCAATTGACATCATACCTAGCACTCTGTATTTGATTGATTGCGACAATAAGTAWCGAAAAATGAAGAAGAGGACATTTATATTTCTGCAATTCTTATGAATTCTTAGTACAGTAAAGGTAGTCATGCTGTATTAAAACTGATGCTAAAAATGATCTTTTCCGTGAAATGTTTGCATTTGTAATGTAAAAATAAATCAGAAGTTTGATGTGTGGTATGCAACCTTTGTTAAAGAAAGAAGAAAGCAGTCAAGGAAYATTCAGGAACAGAACCATACAAACTTGCTGTCAGAGGCATTTTGCTTCAGAAAACATTTTCTTACCTCAGAAACAGACTACTGAGGGGAAAGAGCATCCTCTTTCCTAAACTGGAGCTTTTTGCTCCCTGGTTAAGTTCTCTCTAGCACTCTGCCTTACTCAAGGTATATTTGGGCAAAGATCTTAGCCTAAAGGATACAAAAGTCTCTGGTTTCCTAAAGAGAGAGGAAAAAATGCTTTATAGAAATAATAGGGGCATATTTTCAGACAGCAAAAGAGCATCCCATAGTGTCTAGCTAGACAACGCTTGGGAAGAGCAGCTTCTGGAGAATTTAAAATGGCTTGTTGTAAGGTTTGCTTCTCATTTCATTGAACTCTAAGAAAATCATACAAGAACTGTTCTAGTGTTGAGAACAAAGGATAATGTTTTCATCTTCTGMTTGCATGCCCAAGAGCTCTGTTCACAGTGCTTAACTTGCTGCCCTGTATCTGATGGTATAAGAGTAATGAGGGATTCAGACCACCTACTGTCCAGGGCTGCCAGACAGACTCCATATACAATTGTATCCTGCAGTATAATGCTGSCATGTACAGTAGGCAGTTGAAATGCAGAGCCAAGTCTGCATGTCAAAAGTGCTGGAGAATGCTGCTAGGAGGCCCAATATTCTTCATTGCCAGTCTGTGGAACTGTCTAAATCYGGGATTCCATTCCCAGACAAAGGAATCTCCTTTTAGATAAGAACGTTTTCCTGATTGAATGAGAAAAATATGAATTTGCTTTTAAAAGGAATCYATTAAGCAACCACTCTCTGACTTCATTTTGGGCCAAGTGCTTTCATCTGGAAGGTGTCCAAATCAGAGATCATCTTTGATTTCAATTTCTGTGGCACCAGTTCCAACCAGTGTCTTAGGATTCTGCTGCCTTTGTTGTTGGGTTGTAGAGAATCCACAAAAAAAACTAATAGAGAGCCTATGTCTGCATRTAATATTCTAGTCCAATCAACTTTAACCCAAAATTGAAATTAAGACTCTTTAAAGACTTTTCACTATAATAACAGCTTATGGGGGTTTTTGTATTTTAAGAGGTTCTCACTCGTATACCCTGAGCAATTCCAAAGATGGTATTGCTGTGCTTTAAAAGGAGAGTAAAAACCTTCAGAAGTGCGGGAAGAGGATAATTGTTGCTTTTGTTCAAATAATTTTCTCTAAATCAGTTGATTCACTTTCAWGGCAATRTGAATCATTCTGTTTAAAAATAAAYGGAACTGGTGAAATTCCTGGATTATCCTCTGTTTTCCTTGAATAAAGAAGACTTTATTCCCTCACAAGTCTCCTCACACAATTCCTTAAGTAGCAATGCTTTGATACTGCTATGAGGGTGACAGATGGGCTTAGGAGAAATGTGTTAACCACAGAAGGACTTYCATTCTCCACCCTGTCCCGTTCAGTGTTTATGTGTTCATTCAAGGAGAAATAAGAAAAAACCTTTGCCAACAATAAACAGACAAGGCATAGTTTTACTGTTACCAAGGTGTGGTAGATAACAGCATGGCACATAACATTTTCAGTATGTGGAAAATGCAGACAGTTAAGGTAGGTGGAGTTTAATTCAGAGAGATTATATTTAATAGGCCAGAGGAAAAAGTTAATTGCTGTGATTAGGTGAGGAGGACTGGGTGCTTGGGTTTTTTTTTGTGTGTGACATGGGGGTTTTTGCAATGGGGTTTTCCTGTTTTCCATGCAGGTATTTTCATGAACTATGAATGAATCCATTTAGAGGGAAGCAGGACTATCTGTGGTAGTGCTAGAWAATATGGCATAAATTAGATAGGATCAGAGCCCAAGGCATCATAGCAGAGAGCAGTATTCCATGCCCTTGCTCAGTAGCAGATGAACACAGCTGTTTTCAGGACCAGGGAGAAGCAGGAGTTGAGCACTTTAAGACCTCTCTGCCTTCACACGATTCTGTTGCACAGCCCTTTGGCGCTGTAGATGATAGGGAGAACAGCAAGAAGAAAGCAAGGACAGCAAGATGGAAGGGGTTCAGCCTCCCTGCTTGTTTCTTGTTTCCATCATCTGTGTATCCATAAGCAAACTTGTCTATATGTTGTATGTGTTAATGGCACAGTCTGCTGGGGCACAGAGGTGYAGAGTGTCATTCTTACTGGGTTTCATACAGGTGGTAACCTACTTTCAGTATTTTGCCACAGCCCAACMTCTGAATGTTCACAGAATGGTGAGAAAAAAATGGTCAGGGACCCGCCAATTTCAGAATGGCTTTGTGTGGTGGGGTGGCTGCCAGGTGCCCACCATGTCACTCCACCATCACATTCCCTCACTCTCCCCATCTCCCTCCTCAGCAGTACGGGAGAGAAAATAGTATGAAAAACTTATGGATTGAAACAAAGTGAGTTTAATGAAAGAAAGCAAAGGCTGCATGTGGAAGCACAGTCGTCCTGCAGACTGATCCAAYTGGCACTGCAACAGCTTAGACACTGTTGTGGCTCACATTGCCTCCATCAGCCAGGGTCAGTGTGGGGGTTACTATAACTACTATAGTAGTGGGTGTGGGTTTACTATTTCCCATGGTATAAAAATGAGCATTAACAGATRATGAGGAAGTCAGGTGCAGTGTGATAGTCCAGCCTGCATGTGGGGTGCTTAAAGCWTTATGTGCATTTTTGGTTCTCGCTTTGAATGGGTCCTACACACCATTTCTTKATCTTGATAGGCGTGCTGTATCAATTCTCTACTTCTCTGGAGTTTTCTGCTTGACATTCAGCTCAGGAATGTTGCCTGTGGCCCATTTCATGTTCCTTGAAACACTAAAGAGCTAGTTTCATAGTCAGTTGTTTCTGGCATGAAGATTGTTATCCTTCCCCATGTTTTATATGATGGGCTATTATATCCAGAGCTGGTACTCTCTCTGTAACTGTGACAGATGAAAAAGGTGTAACARGACTCATTTCAGGGTATCACCTTATAATTTTTCTGCTTTTGCAGTTGTTCAGTTGCTTGCCTCCAAAGAGATATCTGGAAGTCTCAGCATAATCTTGTTATGGTGACTTCATACCCAAACCCAGAAGCAGACGTATCATGTCTCCTTCAGTCCCTCACCTCCCAACACTTCTCTTGCAACCTTCAATTGTATTGGAATTCCAAATGCTGACACTGAAAATTGGCTAAACAGAGCAGTACCAAGTTTCTCTCCTTGCTCCAAAATAGCTGTGAGCAATCTGTGCCTTCTTTTACTGGACTTTCCGGTATTTCCCCTGRTCTTATTTTTCCTAAGCAAATGGTGTGATATGGGACTAGCTGTTTGGAGGAAGAGSCACTCCAAATTGAAGTTTGTATGATCTCTATGTCTTCATCAGCCAAATGTGCATTTCKGATGCCTGCGGACAAATTTTCAGCATGCTTGTTTGATGACTTCTCTTGGGGACTGCAGAAAAATGGCTTGGAAATGGAACATTTGCAAAGAAGCGGATGCTGGCAAAAGAAAGCATTACAATGAGATATAAAATATGTGCACTGTAATTTATACAGGCAACTAGCTTCTGGAAAACTTGACCTCTGGCCAGTAGAGGACAGAAACATATCCAAAGAGACTGCTGAAGCAGTGACTGGTACCCAGTGGGATAGAGATGGAGGGACTAATTATATTTTCACAGCTGTTACACCAATGCT